CCGCAGTTAACTCTTGAGAACATACCAAACTTAAACCTTTGACCACGTCCGTGGCGTAGCGGTAAGCACATGGTTTTGAGTATTGAGATCCCAGGTTCTATTCCCAGTCGAGATAATTTAGGAAACAAACTTTTTCAAATTGCAGGCTTCTAAGTTCATAACACAGTATATTTTTTAATGGCTGAAAATAGAATGGTAACCCTGCCGACGTTATAGATATACGCTGGCGCGGTATCATTCGGAAATAATTCTTTTTACATTCGTCACTGTAATTGCTAGCAACGGGGCTGTTAGATCCTATTACAATTCCCATAAAATAATTTGAGAGCTCGAGCCTGAGGTAGTTGTTACGTTCAGAAAATGTTCTTGTACATTTAATCCAAACAATTTGAAAATATCAAGGATTCGCTTGCTCAGTCTAACTTCGCATTAACACGTTGAAGACCGTATTGCAAAGTCAAAGTATTGACTTTTTTTTTATTGTTAATTACATATATTATTTTTTTAATTTTTTTTTAGTGTACAATAATTCTATGTCAAATTAGTTAAGTCCGCTAAATACAGTATCTCTTGGAGGGAGCGGCAAATCGCCTACTGTACATAAATTGTATTTAAATCATGCTCACCGGTGTACAAGCGGCCTCCAAGTAAAATATTTTGTGTTCCCACCCGTGACCACATCATCATCATCATTTCAGCCATTATCCGTCCACTGCTGGACATAAGCCTCCACCATAGACAGCCATAAAGGACGGTCCTGAGCCATCTGCATCCACTGACTTCCTACAATGCATTTCAGGTTGTCACTCCATCTAGTGGTCGTCCTACACTGCGTGTGTCTGTACGGGGTCGCCACTCAGGAACCTTTCTTCCCCATCGGTTGTCGGTTTTTCGAGCTATGTAACCAGCTCATTGCCGTGCCGTGAGCACGCGGGCCCGTAATGTTGTTGCGGTGTGACCCGCTGGTGGTCATGCGGTCTTTGACGTGTTAAGGTCGGTTAATGTATTGATGGCTGTTACACGCAAACCATTAAGAGATAACCCTATCACTATCTAAGGAAATGTCCAGTTTCCCGTCTCAAATTATTTCTATCAGTAGTAAATTACGCGCAGTGATTTCTCGCGTGAACCATTTTGATGTTTATACCACTTATAATTGAGTTTACAGTTGTGTGCATTTATTAAAGTTGTAATTAAATGATAGTGCATTTTTATCGTGTATTACATAAGTTACTTGACACGCAGAACACGAGAAAATAGTGTTATTTTTTCTTCATATCAGTGCCAATGACACGGTGATAGGATGAATGTTTTCATATTTACATTATATTTTATTGTTATTTGAAATATTTTATCACTTTATTAAAAAATACAGATGATTTTAATATCTATAACATTTATATATATATATATATATATATATAGTTTTGGTTCCTCTCTACTTAATCCTTATTCTTTAACACATCAGTATGAAATTTGGTACACATTTACTTTATGGGATGGTTCTCCATCCCGTATACTTACCATTCTTACCGGGATACAAAGTAATAAGCTACTTTGTATCCTTCTGGATACAAAATAGCTTATTACTTTGTATCCCGGCCAGTAAACATATTCCGGCCACGTAGGCAAAGTCAAGCTTGTGAATATCTGCAGTAAGCATAAAAATAATACATATATATAAATAAATAAGTACTTACAAACATTATAATTGTGAAAAGTTGTTTCAATATCTCGATGTTTATATTTTACTCAGTCATGCTTAAACGGCTGAACTCTTTTTTATGATACTTTAAGCACAAAATAAAAAAAAGGCAGAGAAGCTGACGGCCTCCCTGGTGGGAAGTAGTAACCGTCATTTAAAGACACGAACGGCACCATGAAATGGAATTTTGTACACAGGAAGGTTATATTCGAATTTAACATATAGGATAATTTTTACTGGTTTACTTAAAGCTGTAAATGGCTAGTAAATAAATCTATGCCTATAGTCAGAGTGACAATTAAATCATTACACACATTACGTTTTTTAAATGCAGTGTTCTATTGTTGAAACTAAACAGTTTTCCATAGGACGTCGAAAAGTGATAAAAATTTTCGAACCTACCCCTCAGAAATACAGAGGGGAGGTGCGATTATCAATAATGGGGATTAGTACACACATTGCTAGCAATATAGAGTGTATTGCTAGCAATGGGGCTACTCAAGTTGACTTCCTCGCGGTTCCCCCTGGAAACTATTGTGCTGAATTCTGGGCTAACTGTCCTGCCTTTTCATTCTAACCTATCATCCCTCATTGGTGCCCTGCCAGCGTATACCGTTAGAGCAGGCGAGTTTACCGCTCCATTATCATCCACTAAAAAAAATACAAGTATGTCATATCTACGCCTACATGTATAAGAAATATGACTACAATTTTAAAACAATTACTGCTCTTACCGCTTCTAAAATATTCATAGGCCGCCATTTCTTCATTGACATGCATAACTCTGGTACGTTTGTCGACATTATTCATAATGTGAGCTGGATCACACCTCTGTCACATACCAAACGACGAGTGCACTAAGCTGCACACCGTCTTGGTACCTGCATCCTGTTGCAACTTGATACTTGATTCGGATAATCGATACCTATATGGTCATCCGGGTCGTAAATTAATCAAAGATTATGTGCCAATATTGTTAATACTAACGTTTGTGATTCCGTTTTCGCTATTGTGCCATTTGTATTCTGTAACATAATTTGATTATTTTCAAAATGAGTATTGTATTTATTAATTCGCCGTATGGTCCCGGCATACAATGGGCTAACTATTCTTTTCCCGTGGGTGTTGTAAGAGACGACTAAAGGAATTTAAAAGTCCAAAGATAGGCAGCAGTGTCTGTTTTAAAACATCACCAAAGTCTAACTGCGGTTGCCTACCTGCCTGCCAAACTTGACAATTACTGGTAATGAAGGATATATGATACAGATTGATTCTATAGAAATTTTATCATAATGAGTTTCGTAGTTTAATTTATAATCGAAATAACTGTTTTTCCCAGAGGGAGACTGTACGAAAGTCGTTTGCTTGGGTACCTCTGTCCCATTCGTGTTTCAACCGTAAAGCAGTTGTGTTTGCAAGGCTGTGTTTCGGTTTGAAGGGTGCGATATGGCGTGAATTTACAGGGTACAGAGGAATAACATCTGAGTCCTTAGGAATGGCAACGCATGAGGGGTATCATGGGCGTAACAGTATACTCTGTTATGTCCATGGTACTGCTCATGTTTATAGGCGACGGCTACCACTTTCTATCAGGTGGGCCGTTAGCTTGTTTGCCATTGTAAGTTGTATATAAAAAAATTCGGTTTCATAAGAAGTCTTGTTAATGGAACACAAGTTTAAATTATATGTAATAGAATCATTTCACTTAACTGTTACAATTTAGCCAGAACGCAATAGGAATACTCAAGTGGTCGTTACTTTTTGCATAAATAAATAGTTTTATCAGATTAATGCTTCTTTTGTATAACCATTTTGGAATCTCGATACGTTTAGAGCATTGGTATACAATTATCGGATCTGTTGCTAAGAGACAACACAAGTTGCCATTCAAAAAACCATCTCGTCATATATTAAAGTCCATGATCAGAATGTGACATGTCTCGAATACATTATAGATAGCTCTAAAATAATTCCACTGTCGTATATTTAATACAGAGTTACGGCTTGGCCAATCGCCAAAAGAGGCTGTTGACATGCACTTGATGGCGTTTGACCTAAAAGATGTGGAAATATCGCTACAAAACAACAACGAATGGTGTTATCAAAAAGGAAACAATGTTCTATTTAATGTCAGGTAGTTTTCACTTTCATAGAAAAACTTCTTCTTTCTTTTCATTTAAGAGATTCCTCTTGTCGGTGCAACTAATTCATGCATCTTCTTCCAGCCTGCTCTATCCCAGGCCATATCTTTGATCTCCCAATACGACATGACACCTAGTGTTTCCTTTATTTGTCTCATGTAGTTATTCCTCGGTCTTCCTCTTCCTCTTTTGGGTATTATTTTTTAATGGATTTAAATGGAATGGCAACCCTGCCCGCGTCATTCGTTTACGCTAGTGGGATACCAGTAAGAGATAAAATCAGGTTTTCTTTTTGATAGATAAAAATGAAATAGTAACCCCGCCTGAGCTTTCGGTATATGCTGATGGAGCACCAATGAGGGATGATAGATGTCACAGTATTGTACACCGCTCTACCCGCTGACATTGAAAACTTTTGTAAGATTAAGCTCGCCTTTGTACATTTGCTTGCCTCTGTTATATTTCTTACGTATAATTAGTACGTGCAATAAAGTATAAATAAATAGATGAGAATGAAACTAGGCCAGTCGGTCCATTGCAATAAATTCACCAGGAATGAACCATGATTGTTTCTTGGGGACCGAATGGCCGTCACGGTAAGCGTCGTGACTACTTAGACCTAGTAGGACATGTTCTCTATAAAATTAATTGATCCCGATAGAATCAGATTAGTTAGCCCGTTGTGATATATTTTCAACTAGGGATTTAAAAGATACAAGTTCCATAGGATTTTTGTAATGGTTTATATACAAGGAATACTTATTTAATTTGTATTCATAAAACGATACAAAACTAATATAATGATTAATAACTAGCCGTGTGCTTGAATCGGTAACTGAATCCGAAACGTGTCTGTGATCTGATGATCGCAAACGTGTTTCGTATTCAGTAGCCGACTTATGTCCGTATTTTCCAAGCATTGTTTTTAAACCGTCATGATATGCATCATTGCAGGGATGACTGGATTTCAATATTGGAATCTTCTGGTTACCAATGCATAGATTGTTACCAATGTTGATTTGTTTTTAATAAATGTTTTTCAACTTAGGGTTCAGAAACGAAAATAATTACTGACAAGATTTTTTGTTTCTCATATGTTTTGTTTTTGCCTCTGATATTGTTTTTGTTGAAGTATGTTTTCTTTTCTTTTTCAGATTGAACCTGACACAAAGTCTAACGGAACACCTCAACATTAGCATTTTAAGTTCAACCTGACAAAAGTTATCTGTGATCTCATTTTAGTTAGTAAAAACAATCGCCTAAATTAGATTAAGTGGCAAGAACATTCGGAACTCTATATAACAAATGTTAGTTAAGGGTATCCGGCTCGAAGGACCAAGTAATTCAGAATACAAAATGGCGGCATAGTGTTGTGATGGATGACAGATAGTGGGATTTTAGTTGGAGGATGGGATAATGGGCGTTAGGGTGTTGGGATCTTGAAGATGCCGCATGCGCACTCGAGTTCGGCTGCGAGCTCGGGCGGTGATGACCTGGGCTCCACTGATGAGGTCAAAGTGTTTAAGGACGAAGGTGACGGGGAAGACGAGAAGAGGAGCTCCGAGAACCTCTTGGAGGAGAAGTCTAGTCTTATCGATTGGACGGAGAGTGAGGTATGTTGGCATTTCTTGACTTGTTTATTTTACAAAACGTTTTTACTTTTTTGCCAATTATCATTAATAATAAAATTGAAATATTTTCTATTGCCTGAACTAGAAACACTTTGAATTGTATATATTTTTTAGCTGACTCCATATGCGAATATAAGATATATTTTTTAATATCCAATATATAAGATATTGTAATTAATTAAATCAATGACAGCCATGATGAATATAAAAAATATTACCAGTGTTTAAGAAAAATTCACAAATAATAAAAGGTACCCGCAATTTCTACGAAAACCATTTCTTATACGTCCGTATTAATAATCAACAGTATTAATAATTTTGCAGTATTCACATTTAACAATACAAACAGAATGATAAACGTTGTTTATTTCTGTGTAGTTAATATGAAACATACTTCAAATTAATCCCATTGTAATGCAACTACTACCTTCAAAATTTTCTGCTATATCACTCATACGGTTTTCTTTATTGTGCTAGCAGGCAAGCATGTTCATTATAGGTGGTCGTTTTACAAATAAAATTATTTGCTTCCTTTGTGTGCGTTATTATGTAACTTACATTCCATAGACAAGTGTAAATGCTGCCAACTTACAAATAGTTGCACGCGGCGCTTCGATTTATAGAGGTGTAGCCGACCATAGAGCAGCAGGTGTCAACATCAGGTAGATCTCTATAGAAAATTTTCTCAGTATTGTGCATCTATTAAAGTATTGAATTGGATCACAGTTTGTTATAATCCGAGCAGCAGTACTTTAATCAAACCAATCGATAATAAACTCTGATGTACAGTGAGTAGGTTCAATTCGTAACTTCATTTGATATACAGGTTGCATTCTCTGCTTATTATTACACATTTATAAGCTTTAGCACTTCCAGTTGTGCCCACTGTGATGTTTCGTTTCCTCTAACATATGTTTACGTTTTATTTATGCTAATGTCTGAACACCTTTCTGTATAATAATCGTGATATTTAATGTGATAGGACTTGTGTAGTGTGAGGGTCTAAATTAGTTACGTAAATATTTTCCACTATCCAAAATGTATTTTAATATTCATAAGTACGGTAAACGCCCTCATTACGTGTGATCCGACAAGAAGATAACACATTTAATAAGTTAACCGCTCAATTATGTTAGTTAAATAGATAAAATCAAATAAAGACATGTCTGCAATCGCAAATTGCCCGTGAAACAAATAAAAACAACCACAGAAACACCGAAACTAAATGACAACCAAAACAGAAAAAACGGCGCATTGTAAAAAAAAAGATAGAAAAAAATTGTAAAGATATATTTCCGAAAATTTGTGTAAAATATTGTATTCCATTCGACATAAATTACTTAGTCATTGTATTATTTCCGAAAACTCTATTATTCGCTAGGGGAGTGGAGCACAATGCTGAACTACCTGAGAGCAGGTATTTCTAATAAACAAACTCCCACATCTTTTGTGGACGAATTTACCTGTGTCGAGAGGCGAGGGAGTGCAAACATAAATGGACACACACACGAAAATTCGGAAATATAATGTATTTCTACCCTTGTCAGTCGCGTATAAAACTTTATAATCACAATAAGGACAACGAAACAATATGTTTAAGATTCCAAAAGCACAGAGTCACGGTTCGTATAAATATTGGATTATGCTTAGGCGCAATTTTGCTGCGTATGTCATAATAGCATCGATTATCGTACGTGATGCCATTACAATGAACATTGTAAGAACAATTTTCTGTTTCGATTTCTTTTCGATTATGTACCGATAGTGAATTCGATTGAATTCGTGTTGAAACTTTTACGCCTGCGCGGTTTTTGGATAATGTTTTCATTTAACGACGTTGATTTTATTATCCTGTTTGCTCAGAAAAGGTTTCCATTCTGGGGTCTCTATTATTTTGATTGCTCTGTTGAAGAACAAGAAGTAAATAAAAATAAAAGTATATAAGTATATATAAATAAATATAAAGTACAACATGCGGTACTAGCCAATTACAATTCAGAGTATTAAAACAAAAAAGTATTTATTAAAACTTTTATAAATATTTTTTCAACAACCAAGGAAGTGGCCAGTATTTTATGAGCTGGAATATCAAGATTCCTTTCACTATGATCTAGAAAAAGTAAATGGCTGAACGATTTCCGTTGTGGTCAGAGCCTGTAAATCGGGTTATGCAGACTATATCCGTGGATAGTCCATAAGGTTTCCTCATTAGGTCTAGAGGGGATATTATTCAGTCCTACTCAATCTACTTTCCAGGCCATACTGCATTGCGATAGCAGTTAATAGAAACTAGATAAAAGTGTGTGGTAAACATTTGAAAGAGCTTTGGACCTTAAAATTCAGGTATTTATTATAATTTTTTTTAGAAAAGTGCGTGTTTTCTAATAATAGCAATATGTATAAAAGTTGATCGGATATGTTGTTTGACTGAGATCAAAACTAGCCTATTTCCTTCATCCCATATAGTACCTGTATACCAAATTTCAAGCCATTGAGTTGCCAAGAGGTAAGAAACAAACTTGCTTTCACATTTATAATATTAATAAGAATTCACATGATTAAATTATTTCTTACAGTTTCAGATCAAACTTTTTACATCTTAAAAGAAAAATTATAGATATGAGAGCATAATTAAAAATACACATTCTTTTGATAGTCACGTTTTATATTTATTTTTTCATACATTGGCTACAACTAGGAATACCTTCTATTATCACCACCGATATAAGCTTGAGTACAGCGGCTAATTTCTTGCTAAAGCGATCAAGCAGCTGTTAATTCTAAAGCAATACAAACTCGGTCCCGTAAGTTGGCAGCTATATTTAGCGAACAACACGCTCTTGTCTGCCACGTCCGTTTCCGTCCACCATCACTCTAGCTGGTTTCTTGGTACTGTAATGTGAGATGAAGAATCGAATATGAATTAAGTTGTATAGCTTGTAAAAGATAATTTAATCGATCTATCAACACGATGAATTTGGGAAGAAATGAAGATTTATGTATTTCTTAATTTAGTTAATAGATTTAACTGAATTTTCTCTGTATATTTAAGTTTTGTGGCGTCCAGAAGGCTGACCTATATTTTAGTCAATGTTTGCTTTCTAGCAGGTCAATGCGACCGATCTTAAGGTTCTTTTTTTTCTATAAAATACATAAATTTTATGTACTATTTGATTATATTTTGTAATTGTAAAATGTTATTTCAGGATTTTTCAACTTTTAAAAGTTAATTCCGAATTTGAATTCTGTATCGTATCGTTGTATTTAATCGAATAAGTTCAGGCCGGGACTTGACATCCCGTATGACAAAAATGTTATTAGTTCTTACTTGAGCCAATCGCGTTTTGTGTTCTAGCTCCTTTAGAATTCCATAACCACTATTTCAGGACCTGTCTGCTCTTATATTTCTTGCAGACACGCGGCTCCTAACACGATTGGGGAATAATTTAATCAGTCCGACGCTGTTCCCAACGACACACATGTTGCGAAATTAAAATTTATAACACTATAAAGTGTTGGACTTTAATAGCTTCTTAACTCCACAAATCCTTATATTAATTCAGCCTTGTGCGTATATTTAGATAATTACTATTTATTAATGCGTGCGCCTGTGGCCATTTAAATATCTAATGCTTTGACCTCTGTTAGTCTTGGGTTTAGTAGAAAGAAATTTAACAGTAGTAACTGTTTTATTTGAAGTTCAGATTCAATAATGTCTCAAGTTTTTGCATTAACTACTAACGGTTCAGATGGAGAAAGTTCAAAATTAGTAGCTCAAATTAAAGGCTTAACTGTAAAAAACTAACTGCGGTTGCCAACTCTCCTGCCAAGCGTGGCAACTACTGGCAAAATCCACCAACAGGAGGAGGTTTATATTTATCAGTGGTCAGTTAACGACTGATATGATAACGATGAATTTTGTAAATGGTAAATAAATTCAATTGATCCAGCAAGAGATATCTATCTAATCATCAATGAGAATATTGTTGTAGAACATAGAATTGTATTTCCAAAAACTTTTTAATGTATTAGAAGTAACTTTTTAGTACTTTTCAACTGTAGAGACCTATTAAACTAATCAAGATTTAAGGATTATTAGATCCATAAGAAGCATGCATGCAAACAAATGTAAGAAACACCTTTGCGCATTATTTAATATCCACATTTCGATCTTCAAATTTGATTAAGTAAAATTATGACAATGAATTCTCAAATGAGAAATTGTCTCCTAAAGTTTCAGTAGTTAATAAATATTGAATGAATTTATTTCCTATAAATATTCAATTCCTCATAGACCAATTTACAATTCAATACCAGTGCCCTCGGACCCGCCCTTTTAGTTATCTGTTATTAATTTCACGGACCATATCGAGACATGCGTAGGCGCATACATATATACTTCCTAATTACGATCTACAGATAGGCAGTGTTTGTATATTTGTACGTGGGCTGTTGCATTGGCCTGCATAATTTTCGCAGAATAAAGGTTTCGAAGAAGTTGAAACTGGATATGATAAAAATAATATTAAGGATCCTGGTTTCAGAGAAATGAGTAAACAATATTATTACTGCTGATTCTGTATTCATTGTCAAGTATCACACGCATCCTATTGCTATGTTTTGCATCTTCATCATATACAAGTTTGAAATCGTAAGCATTAATTACATTATCGGTAAAACTGAATATTTTTTATTACAAAAAATTTTGGGGCTTATATACTGAATTGACAGTTGGACGAATAAGTTAGTTTGGGAGCCTTGAAGTTTTTGTCGTTTTTGGATACATATTTCTTTGAGAAAAATGTAAAATTTTTATAATATTCCTCTATTAGGATGCTAAAAATTATAGTTTCTTCTTGTATTGTCTATTTTACTACACAGCTTGAAAGCTCATCTATTGGAAAGTAATAACCGTTATTTTAATTACATGAAGAACGTCATGAATATTCCCGGATGTAACGTCCATGTTACGGTATGGTATC